AGGAACCTCCATAGCCGAAGGATATCGTCCTTTCCGAATTACGATAGCAGGTTCGAGCCCCGCCATAAACTTGGTTGAATATTTGTGCCGTTCTTCTCTAATTTGTTCTATCTATTCCTCAACTTGAAAGAGGTTTAAAAGATGTTCTTTGCATCGAGCACACAAACTTGCACACGTATATGTAGCAATAAATAAATAAAACTTGAAAAATATCGGTGCACATTTTTTGTACCGTGTAGTTATAGTTCATTTACGTCGCACTAGAGCTGAACAATGGGCTATTGGCGACGGTCTGGGAAACATCCCTGTGGACGATCCAAAGACATGCCATCATAAATTTGATCCTCTGTAGAGGGGATGGCACCCCCGTTTCGGTAGCCCAACGACCTATACGCGAAGTCGAACACTTTACTGTAGAGCAGTTTAACTAGAACCAATACCGCACACCTTCGTTCCCTACGCAGAATAATACAAGAGGTCACCCACCCTCACACTGCCACAACCAGTGTTGGCGAAAGAGAAGATCTCAAATTCATGTTCAGAAGTTGCTGAAAAACATCAAAGCTTACAAGAAAACTACATAAATGCCTAATTATTTTTTTATAAATAGAACACTTTCTAGAGGTGTCCAGATTCTCCAGAATACGACGAAGAATGCCACGAGTTTGAACCCTAAAGTCACTGAGGAAACTCAGCCTTTGCATGCGAAAAGCGTGAGTACAATTCATTAATTGTAGGATTATAAAAAAAACAATTCACTCCGTAATTTTGAATTCTGTAAGACAACTTGTTAGAAGCAGTAAGCTATAAGAAGCTATAAGAGTAAGAAAACGACCTTTACCTGCTATCTCAGCAGAATTCTTGATTCATCTCAAATCAAAACCTCGATACTTAACTTTCCATTTAAGCTCTCATCTTCTTTGCACTCAACTATTGTAATCTTAAGATTTCGTTTCAAACCTAGAGATATAAATTATTTATAAACCCAGAGAGCCAAAGGGTTTGTTTACTATCCACTCATCGTAAAAAAAAGACTATTTAAGGCGAGTTCATGGTTCGAAACCATCAGTTAAAATAGCGATTACGCAAAATTGAAACCAAAGTAAGATAAAGAAACAAGGGATAAAAGGTTTAACGCAATGATGTTCCCGCATCAAAATGATCTCTCAGAAGGTCAATTGTCCTCTTATGATGGACAAACAATGAAGCAATATGCATGAAGGCGTTTAATTACTTATTTATTTTTAACAAATATCCTTAAGATTTTATTTTGTTTTATAACCGTCGTTGAACAGCCGATTTTCAGTTTACGACTACAAATGTTCAACTCCGTAACCTTGTAATTTTGAACCCAATCCAGAGGACAAGGGAGCTCCTGGATCAAGTATTGGAAGAAATTTGACTTCGTGGGCGACTTTTCGATGGAACTAACCCGCATTTACGTTACATGGAGAGAAAAACCAGGAAAACTTCCCACGAATAGCCTGACGGCAAGGGGACTCAAACCCATAATCCGTTAACCACTGAGGATATTTTACGTCAGCACGGTGATCAGAGTGAGCCGGGTTCAGAATTCGTATCAGCCAGCCATTGCCGGGATTCAAACCCGGTTCACCTCATTGGGAGGCGAGATGTCTATAACCTGGGATAACACGACTCTTTTCCTTAAGAATGAAAATTCTAAGATTCTCAAACTCCACTTGTAAGACCATGTTAAACAAAAAGGCATCACAAACAACTCAAGGGCCAGAATAGCCTGGTTGGTAGGATTTTGGACTCATGTTCGTGAGAACGGGAGTTCAAATATCTCTGGTCGAAGAAACCCCATGTATTAAATGGTAACTGGTGCACGTTAAATATGTCGGGGTTACAAAGTTTTCCAAATTCCCATAACAAATTAATAACTCTGAGGGTACTAAATTCGAGATTGATCTTTCTCTGGTTCGGGTCAAAATTACGATCTATGGATGAATGAATGGATGTATGAATGGTTCCACCCTATGAATGGATGTGACTGAAATCGTATTCTTGGCCACAGATGGTGTCTCTGAAAAACAAGAAACGCACCCTTTGCCTCAATTTCATTTGGTTTCCCAAGCAGGCTTGCTGGTATGGCAAGTGGCAATAGAAACAACAACAACAAACAACACAAGAAAAATAAGGAACAAAACTACCTTCAAAAATCAGACTTGCTACCTTACATGCATCCAAAAGATTTGCAGATGAACAATATAATCACTACTGATGTTCTTATTTATTTTTCTGTCTATATTTTTTTTTTCAATTTTCTTTCAATTGATTTAAAGTTTTAATAACACGCATGCATATTAAAAAACTTTTTGTTTTAAGGAAGAAAAAAAAATTTCGTTGATAAAATTGTGACATGAAACAAAATGAAAAGAACAACAAAAAAAAACCTTGTAGAATACTTATTGAATGAAAAATATCTTATAAGGCAGTATTTCAATTACCCAATCAAAAAACTACAAACGATGCTTTTTTTTAAAAGAAAAAAAAATCTACGGTTGTATTAAACTATTGGAACTAGCTCAGGAGTATGAAAAGCGCCGTAAAGAAAAAAAAAAAAAAAAAANAAAAAAAAAAAAAAAAAAAAAAAAAAAAAAAAAAAAAAAAAAAAACAATTAACGAGCCACAGTTACTTTAAAAAGTAAAATTCATTAATAACTTCTCAAAACGCAATTTTAAACAAATCCTATGTTAGTGTTCATCTATTAGTTATTTGCCTGCGAGAAAGAAAAGCAGTGTTAGGAAAAATTTAATGAAGTTTTATTTCATCCATATTTGCGTCTGAGCAAAATAAGGGAATAGCAAGAGTTTTAACATACAATTTTAGATAATATTTTCGAATACGCTTACAGTTGAACTCCATAAAAAATAAAATAAAACCTCTCTTATATTTTAAAAAATGTATTGCAGTGGTGTTCTATTTTAAGACCTAGTAATGATAAAAAAAAACTTTCGTAACTGAGATACATAAAACGAAAACAAATGACGTAGAATAAAAACACTTCCTTCGATTGAGGCAAACAGTCAGCAGGCATTTCATAAATAATAAAAAGTAACTGTTTCACAAACAAAATGACGGAGAGCTTATTTAAACACGTGATGTTGAAAGGCAGCCGTTTGCGTAATGACGTTTCACGTGAATCGCAATGTCTCAGTTTCCACACTACGGTTTCAGCTTTATTTTGTTTTCTTACGAATTGAACGCATTTGATACGATTGTTTTTCGCTTAATTTCGCTGTAATGTTCTTTTTTATGAGTCTAGTTTTTCAAGGCCACGGTCTACTATTTCATTATATATTGAAACAATTCACATCATAAAATTTCTAGGAAGATAATGAAACAGCTGATTTTTACGGAATATATATAAAAAGAAACTATCATAAAACTACCTGGATTGAACAGCCGGCTCCTATATTGCAAGAGCGGCAAACAATGTTCGATTTCATAGTTTTGTAATTTCCAACTCAGAAGACAAATTTTGGGTTTTTGATGGAAATAATATGCACGTGATCTCCATGAAGAAGAAAATCACGAAAATCCTTCCGGTTAGCTCGACACAAAGGAAATTCTAACCCTTGATCCGCCAACTACAGGGAATATTTTACGTCACGATGTAGTCAATGTAAGCCGGGAGGCTAATTTACAATTTAACAGCCTACAACGACTCGCTGTCTTTTTTATAAATTTTTCTCTTGGCTACAGGTGGTCGCAATTATAATGTAATATAACGCAATTATTCGCTATTAATTGACTTAAAATAAGTTACCTGAACTAAAAAAATAAAAAAATCATGTTTATCTTTATTTTTAAAAAAATGCTAAACGGTTGAGAGTGTCGATAAGAGCCGCTGGATTGGAAAATCGCGCCCGGGAGCAGCATTTGGATCAGCTTGGATCAACGGATTTCGAGTTTGGGTCACTTCAAAGGAAGGCAAGAGCTCCCCCCTTCTCTAGCCAGTATTAGACATTTTACTGGAATGAGTAACACGAGATAGGTCACAATTCATGACCCCAATTGGGTGGAATGCCCTTCCAAAGAAGCTTTGACCACAGGTCAGGAAGACTCGACGACCCAAAAAGTTAAGAACCCCTCGTGTAGATAGATCCAGATTCGGGAAAATTTATCATCTAGAATTATAACATATTTAAACCTTATTTTCGCAACAAAATACCTAAATGTAATTTCTATTGTTTTAATCTAAAATATGTAATTTTAAGTTACAGTTACAGAGGGTTCTCGAAATCCCTTGGTTATCATATATTTAATGATATTTCTCGAAAATGAATTAATGAACACCTAATGAAAACCACAAGCTTATATTAATAGTAAAATTTAAAATAGTTTTTTTGAAAAAAAGAACTCAAATTAAAATAAGTATTAAGTATAAAAACTACCTCTGAGGTTTTAACCCCTTTGGAACCGTGATCACATACACGTGATCACACGATTCTCTTCTCACAGCATGAAACAAGTCTCCCAAGATTACACTTACGTGATTAATTCCGTACACTTATATCACATCTCGTATTACGTATACGTAATCATATCTCGTAATACGTATACGTAATCGGAGCGTACTAGCCTGAGAAAGCGCAACTTTTTTACGTTCCGCCAGTCCTGGATGTGTTAAACCTATTTTATACAATTTAAAGCTTCTCTTAATTATTCTAAATGATAAAAGTTAATAGGATTTATATCATCCATAAGAAAAGGCGTCGATAGAAGGAAATTACCAGATACGATAGTTTAATTCTACAGTGATTCGTTACAAATCGACTTTTTTTGCATTTTCTAGTAATTGCTTAAGTTTCCATGTTTGATAAAGATCTTAAAGATAAAGACCTTAGAGATAAAGACCTTAAAGATAAAGCGCGGTGATTATACAACACCATACATAATTAAAACATATATCTGCATTGTAAGTTATAAAAACTTTTAACTATGTATAAAAGAAAACTATAAATAAGATTACCTCAGTAAATTCATTAGAATATAGAGCACTTTCTATTCCTATTAGTATGGTGATTGGTATTAGCAGGATTTGATGTGGATTGCCAACATGCTTAATAGCTGCTAAAAAGCGATGACATGCAGATTTCCACCCACTACCCTCTTTGATATCATTTTTCAGAGGGTCTAAGAAACAGCACAATAAAAGAACGCTAAATAAACCCATACCTACATAGGTACACACCAACACTATCCTTTCATGTTCAGGTGGAACTTCTAAATTGGAATTGGTCACATTACCATGGGCATCAAAATCAATGCCACACTTTAAAGGTAGAGTATTATTATCAGTTAAGTTCCTGGGTATGACATGTCTTTCACTTATTACGATAAATGAAATTGCGTTGCCGAATATCTGGGTACCTTCCATGAAACAGGAGTACACCCCGAAGAAAACTGCTACCACAAACTCTAAATCTTGCTTGGTCAGGGCCTGGTACCGGATGGCAAGTTCGTCAATGTATACAGTCAAGGCGCCATTGTAAGGTCCACTTATCAGTCCAAATAATGTAGACATTGACAGCAGTACATCCCAACGAAGATACATATTAGATGCCAGATATGGTAGTCCTAGAATTGTTGTGAATATAAGTACCCTTTTGCAGCCGAAGTTTTCAATGGTAATTTCAGGTAAAAACAAAGAAGAAATCATTGATGCGGCATAAATCACAGCTTGTGAATCTGGACCCATTCCACCAGCAGCGTTCATGGTGCTCTGAAGATTGGTCAAACCCCAAAATCCAGTTTGGAACATGAGATAACTGAAACTTAGTACAAAAAGATTCCATATGATTCTTTGCTTGCTCATTAAAGGTACTTCTTCTATTAATTGCGTCTTGTAACTTGAGTTCACAGACCCGTGGTCGACTACGGGATTTTGAAGAATATGGGAACATTCATTTACACTCGATGAATGGGTTAAGTACGATACAAAGGTCTCTTCGTTGGCCATGGTGATTTTTTTTCGGATGTTTAACAACAGTTACTCGCAGGAGTACTTTTCAGAAATGTCTGAGATTTTTTTCTAAAAAATTATTGCACAAAAAATATAAAAAAATGACTTAAAATAAGGAAAGTCAAGTGTTTCAAATAGAAAGTAAAGCGTATTATTTTCTAATAGAATTGTTTCAGTCATTGCGTGAAATGCCATTACGTAGAACGAAATCCGAAATCCTTTTCTATTACAGGTGCACAAAGCTAGACTACTAACACTCGTTCTTCCGTGAAAATAAAAATAAAACGATTTCGTCTAACTGAAGAGAATAAAATACTACTCACGCTGAGCGATAAGGTAGGACTATGTATTTTAAGATGGCATTTTTAAAATTATCATTAAGAGAACAAGCAAATAAACGATTATTATGGATGTCAATGTCAAATTTATTGCATTTCTTGAAACGCAAACAAATATCTGTTACATAAAACAATGGTTACGAGTGATAAGAAAATAATTACGAAATGCTTAACTTATCTATTTAAAAAAATCACTCTCGCGTATTCTAATTGTAAATTTATAGATGTGAAAATTCGAATAAAATGAAACACTTTTTTCAGATATTTCATTTAATTAAAATCCAGTAAAAACGTAATAATTCTAAGCTTGAACTAAATGTATCAAAAAAATTTAATATTAGTTACTTGTCCCTATATTGTGCTTAATTCTTCAATTTAACTTTTTTTTTACAAAAGCTCTTCCCATGAAAGAGTACACCCTATAAAAATTCCAATAGTATAAGAAAAATAACTCTTCATGAGTACAATCAAATTCAAAACAACTTTTTTTTTTTTTTTTTTTTTAAAAAAAGCACTAAAATAAACTATATTTAANAACAAAGTTTTTTTTAAAAAAAAAAAAAAGCACTAAAATAAACTATATTTAAAACATGCTTATTTCTGGTTTAACCAGGAAGAGAGAAATGTATATTCTTGTTTACTAAAGGAACTATAGTTAATAAAAAAAATTTCTGTCCTTCAAAATTCTCAGACGTTTCTCAAGGTAAAAACTAGCTAATGTTTTTCTAAAGACATTGCTTATTTGAACGAGAAATGCTTGACATATTTAAAGAAAAAAAAACATCCAATTAAAAGCAAGTAATATTTGATGTATATGGGTCATTTTCATTAATACGGTAATAGTTTTTACATCTCCGTTGTGCGTTATGCTTGTTTTATGATTTCATAACATTTTGGAATGGAAAAAAGTGTTTTTAATGTATTTTTACAAAATGTTAAAAATAAGACAATTATATCAACTTAATGAACAAATGGGGATTAAAAAGTAATCTTCCTGTCAACACTTTTTTGGTTAGAAATGCACCCCATGTGCATTTTATTATTATTATTATTATTTTAAATATGGAATTGTTATGAATATTTTAGAATATTCTGAAAATTACTTTATTTCACGCTTGTTTCTTAAGATTTTTCTTCATTTTAGAAATGAAGCTTATAATATTTATTATATTTTGAAAAATGTTTCAAAGGGCTTACATTACGACCATTAATATCAACAACTTTCCTAATCATTTAAAATTTAAAATTTTTTTAAAAAGTGATCACCCTTAAAAATACTACTACTGTCCACAGCCCAGTAGCAAAACTTTCCAATTTTGTCCCATACCTTACGTGTCATACCCTCACATATCTCCACTGTTCAATTAAAATACGAAAAAATTGTTTTTTAAAAAAAGGGCATTAAGTTTATAGATCTTTTTCAATTTAGAATAAGATGACCAGATTTGTAAACCATGATTTGAGGACAAATCAGCAGAGCGTTCTCGAAAAATTTTATGATTTTAGACCACCCATATATCTATGGAAAATATTAATTGATGTGTGAACCATCAAACTTGATTTTATTACTGAGCAGTTTTGAAGATTTTGAACAAAATGAGTCAGTACATGATTATTAAAATTTATTTATTTTTTGCTCAAATTATTTCAAGACCAGTATGGTGTTTTCATCTTTTAGCATGGTACTTTTTTTTGTAATCTGTAAAACATAACAATCGTGTTTAAAAAAACATGCGCATTTCAGACAATTTTTTCATATTTCCTAGCATATAAAAAACATTATATGCTTTCGAAAATTTTCAAGTAAATTTGAGGACATATTTTAAAATTTGGAGACACTTTCTGCCCACAAAAAGTTTGAAATTTTTTGAGGACAATCAAGGAAATTTGAGTATTATCTTCAAGATTTGAGCACGTCTGATCACTTTAATTTAGAATATTGAAAAACAGAATTCAGAAAATAATTTTAAATAAAAAAAAATTTTAAAAAAATTGTGCCTCAGTATAATTTTAAAATATGTCACTAGGGTTTTAAAATATGTTCAGATAGGGTGTTGCATTCTTTAAAAATCAATAACCCCCCGTATAAAATATTTGAATAAGAGTTTTAATGTTTCACGTTTTAGAACAAAATTGCAGCATATTTTCATCGTCAATTCACAATTCAATTTTTGCAAAAAAATAAACTGATACATCATAATTTCAGAATTTATCTTTAAAGTATTTAATCATTCCTCAAAAAACAAATAACCCCCAGAATATAATATTTTAATAAGAATTTTAATGTTTCTCATTTTAGAACAAAATAACGGCATATTTTAATTCTCACCTTTACCGGTGAAATCCATTTAAATCAGGTATCATAAGGGTGTAGCTTTTACATTTATCATTTTCACATGCCTTTTTTAAAGTAAAATAAAATTAAGTAATTGCTTTCTTGCTTTCTTGCAAGTTGCTTAGTTGCTTTCTTGCAAGAATATATCCATAAAAAACTGATTTCAAGAATCAATTAAGCTTAATTACTATTTTTAAATTTGAATCAATTTTTCATTCCCTCACTCACTAATGTATAATTTACCCTCGCCCCATCATTCCCTCACTAATGCATAAAATGAGGGAATGATGGGGTGAGGGTAATGACTCTAGAGCAGAAAAACGCAAAAAATAAGTGTCTATCACGTAAAATATATTATTTCTTAACTTAATAAATTCAGAAATCACAATTCAGCTTCAGTTATTTGGATTTTATGAACTTAACTTAAAATGACGGTTTGACCTATATATACGTTGATAATACTGTTGATTTTAAATTCCACTTTACTTAAACCAGAAACACATTTTTCTAATCTTAGATGGCTATGATTATATCACTCAGTCAAACAGTCATAAGGCATTTTTGTATGACAATGAAATGAGGTCCGAACGTAAAAAAATAGGATTTGTAAATGTATACAAATGGATTGATAAGATACAACTTTTCAAAAAAAGTACAGTAGTAGTTTGATAAATATATTTGCGGGGTAAGAAATCTTGAGATCAATCATTTTTTCTATTTTCATTTTACTTTTGGAAATAATAAACTAGGACGTACTTGGGTGATTTTCACGAAATATGACAATTCACTGTCCCTTGCTCCAAGATCTAATACTATAATACATAGGTTCTCAACCTTTTTAACGTTGCCGCCCCCTTAAGGAGCAAAAAATATTTCAACGGCCCCCTTTACAAAAATCCTGTTATTTTGAGCATGGGGACGGAGGGATGTGTGCTAAATTATAAGAGGCAAATTTTTTAAGCAATTTTTTTACGCTTTGAATTTGTTTGGTTTTTTAAAAAAGAATAAATTAACTCGATAATTTTCTCACGGCAGGTAATCGCCGTCTATTTGTTATGATCAAAATAAATACGTTTAATGAAAAAAAAAATACAACTAAGAAACCTATGCTTAAAAAGAATAATTTATTCTAAATTAGATAATTAAAATAACACCCAAAATAATTTTGTTACACTAAAAAGTAGTATCAACGAAACATTCAAGTAACTATGTTAGTGGGATGATTGTACTTAATGGTTCAGAACCAATTCCTTAACGCTCGGTTCAATACTTTTAGTGAGATGAAGATGCAAATACCCACGTTTGCACAATTTCGAGTCGATTTCTTCTTTTTGTGACAAGATCCGTAACAGCACTGAATCCACATTCGACAAGT